AACCACTGGACTGCCAGGGAAGTCCCAAGAACAACCATTGCTTATAACATTTTCTAAATTAAAAACGCCTCTTTCTTTTTGAACATTTAGTAGTTTACACTTCTCTTGTTCAACCCACATGCATGTATTTTGTGGAGAGAAGCACTTTAAGCATGAATCTAATATTTACAGACTAAGCTTTGCTATTGTTCCTGTAACAGAGTTATTTTCCACGCCTGAGTTTCTGCTCATCTACACTGTATTAGGAGACTATTTCTTCGAATTTTGAGCCTCAGCGTTTTTCCTTAATCTGGAGGTTTTACTCCCTTGCAGTTATTTTACCACACTTCTATTAGGGGAAGTTGGGTAATTTCAAATAGTCCCTAACACAGGCGTCTACCGGCTGGATCCCATTTTCACTGCCAAAAATGTAGGATTCTACTCTAAAGGAATGTAAGAGTCGACACGACTGAGCGACTTCACTTTCACTTTTCACTTTCGTGCATGGGAGAAGGAAATGGCAACCCACTCCAGTGTTCTTGCCTGGAGAATCCCAGGGACGGGGGAGCCTGGTGGGCTGCTGTCTATTGGGGTCGCGACTAAGGCGACTTAGCAGCGGCAGCAAAACAATAAAGACTGTGTTTTCTGACTCTAAATCATGTGCCCCTACCATCCCCACAGGTTTTAGGGCAGGCACTTACCACGCAGCATGTGCCAGCAGGAACCTCACGACTGTGTTATACACAGAATTTGGACCAGGAACCCTGGGGCTCAAACCACGTTATTCCTGGAAAAGGATCCCTAAACGCCCAGTGTGCACACAGTGAGAAACTGATGGTCATGACTAGGCTCCGACATGAGCTCCCTGTAGCCAGAAAAGGAGATGCGTCTTCTATCCCGCCCCCCTCGCCCCGAGTACACACACACAACACTCACCGCTGGGAGGAATTCTTACAAAAACCTCCTTCCTGAAGCTTGGAAATATTCTTATTACCAACAAAAGCTGTATCTGTTTATGGAACTTTATGGATGAAGCAGGGAAATGAGATAAACTACATATAGTACACGCAAATGTCTGATATATTGTTCCCATCTTACTGCTGCTTAAAAAATGCTTTCCTGTTTCAAAAGTGTTCTTTAGAGCTGTCTTTGCTTCTGATTTTGACAGATTTGCTTTATACTCAGAACATACTCTCTGGTAGCTCAGACGGTAAAGCGTCTGCCTGCAATGCGGGGAGACCCGGAGTTGATCCCTGGGTCGGGAAGATCCCCTGGAGAAGGAAATGTCAACCCACTCCAGTACTCGTGCCTGGAAAATCCCATGGACAGAGGAGCCTTGTAGGGTACAGTCCACGGGGTCACAGAGTAGGACGCCACAGAGTCACTTCACTTCAGAACATACTCTAAGTGGCGCTGGTGCTAAAGATTCCACCTGCCAATGCAGGAGACGTGAGAGACACAGGGTTCAATCCCTGGGTTGGGAAGATCCCCTGGAGGAGGGCATGGAAACCCACTCCAGCTTTCTTGCCTGGGAAATCTCTGATGTAGGAGCCTGGCCAGCTATAATCCATAGGGTGGCAAAGAATCAGATGCTACTGAAACAATTCAGGCCCCCTACACACACACCCATGCTGAACATACTTGCATGATGACCTCTTTAATATCTAACATATATACATTTTTGTTATACCTCGCTTCCCTGGTGATTCAGATGGTAAAACATCTGCCTACAATGCGGGGAACCGGGTTTGATCCTTGGGTCTGGAAGATCCCCTGGAGGAGGAAATGGCAACCCACTCCAGTACTCTTGCCTGGGAAATTCCATGTACTGAGGAGCCTGGTGGGCTACATTCCTGTCATTGCTGAGAACTAAAATTTGTATTCTTTGTTAATATGCATTTTTGTTGCTGATTCATGTGCATGGCATTCTCATTGCTTCTGTTGGGGGAAACACACTGACTGAAACTCCCCACCCTGGCTAGAAATCTTAGTACATATTCGCATGAATTACTTTACCACAGGAAGTCCTGGTAAGGAACTAACAAGACACCATCAACAATCTGGGAAAAGTCAGATTTTCCACAATCTGGGGAAAGTCAAATGGAGACTCCATGTGTTCTACCACATTCCAGAAGCCTTCTCGTTGACATCCACCTTGGCTGAACAATGCGTGCACCACCAGGAAGGATCCCGAGTCAGAATGACCAGCCAAGGACAACCTGGCAATCAATTCCATCAGCATAAAACCCTATATCGTGAGTCATGAGGCAGAGCAGTCCTCCTGGGTTCCCTCACCATTCTGGCCTCTGCCTGGGCATTCCTTCCCAATAAAGTCTCTTACTTTGTCAGCAAGTGCGTCTCCTTGGACAATTCATTTCTGAGTGTTAGATGAGAGTACCCTTTTGAGCTCTGGAAGGGGTTCCCGTTCCTGCAACTTTCCTGCTCCTTCCTCCTGACTTGACCACAGAAACCCAAGGCCATAAAGTCAGCAAAGCAAGAATTATCAAAGGAGGAGCATTTTGACCAGGACCAGGGGACCAAAATAAATGGCTGAAGAAAATATCATGGAAACAACTGGCCTCAAGAAAACAATCAACCATATGTGACAATTATTGTTCAGACACAGTCATGTCTGACTCTTTGCGACCCCATGGACTGCAGCACATCAGGCGTCCCTGTCCTTCACTGTTGCCCTGAGTTTACTCAGACTCATGACAGCTGAGTGATGCCATCCAACCATCTCATCCTCTGTCACCCCTCCTCTTCCTGCCCTCAATCTTTCCCAGCATCAAGGTCTTTTATAATGAGTCGGCTCTTCACATCAGGCTGAGTATTGGAGCTTCAGCTTCAGCATCAGTCCTTTCAGGGACTATTCACGGTGAGCTGCTTTCTGAACAAAGTCATTTTCCTTGCCTCAACACCTGTCTCTCAGATTCATTCATTGGCCTGTCGTGTGGAGAGCAGAGCGAACTTGGGCTCGGTGACAAGAGGACATCTCCTAGAATTCCGCTGCTCCCTATTTTGGCTGCAAACCCGCACATGACGCCAGAAGCCAAGGAAGCCACCGGTGGGGACGTCAAAGCCATCTGCCCCGGAGGGACTGTCTGCGGCGAGGCTTCGTAGGATGCGTATGTGTCTGTCACTCGGCCGCATCCGACTCTTCGCAAATTTCTGCTCGAGAGCACTCGGATCTCAGAGATGCAGGCGTTTCCTATCTCTATCAGAATTTAGCCCAGTTAGCGCAGATGCACTCATTTTTCCTGCTCTCCCTCTGCATAAATTATCTAAGAACATTCCTCATACTCATCTCCCACATTCCACATGGCCATTGCACTAACATGCGAATGCACTCACCTGGCCACAGGTGATTGAGTCCACAGTGCCTGCTATACAAAGATGGTTCAACCAAACTATTTATTGCAGCCGTTCAAATAAGAACCAAGAGAAAGTATTTATCTCTCTTTGTCTATAGTTGTATTTTTTTTTTTTTTAGACTGGGAATTCTTTTCCATATCTTCCTCAGTATTGACTGGAGAAAATTTAAAGTCAGACACCAGGGAGATAGAGGACAATCAAACAGATGTTTAAAAAGTATGTATGCATTTTTCATCTTTGTTTTCCTTTACCCATGAGTTAACGACTGACACACAGAAAGCAACCATGAGTAATAAATTATATTTTTTCATCTTATTTGTTTTATAACAAAGGGAAACATGATAATACAATTTCAGGAGATTTAACACTTTGAGCCCAATTCACAAATTTAGAGTATTTGACATAGCAATGTGTCTACAGAAGGGCTAGTATCACAAAGTTTAAAGAGAACACTAATATAAGTACACATCAATTTCCAAACCAAGGCAGTAAATTATATCTCAGTTTAGCAAAAAATGACCACATTTCTGTTTTCTGGTGTCGCACTTTCCATTTAACATACATCCCATATAGTTTCAATAAAGCTATTTGTTTTAAAATTATTTCTATAAGGCTACAGATTGGCAATAGAGCTATCTAAATGCAATAAGTTATATATTTGCAACCTATTCCAGTATTCTTGCCTGAAGAATCCCTCGGAAAAAGGAGTCTGGTGGGCTACAGAGTGTGGGGTATCAAAGAATTGAATGCAACTAAGCAACTAACATTACCATTACTACTACGTATTTGCAGTAAAGTTATGTGCACATTAACCAATACAGTTTACATATTTTCACATAAAATCAGCTATTTTATATTGGAGTTTTTATTCTTCTACACTTAGCCGTTTGCATTTTACCTTCTTGACATTATACTGTTTATTTTCCTTTGAAATGTGATTAGCTGAGTATGTGTGTATGTGTCTTTGTGTTTCTGCAGTAATAGCATCTGGAACAGAGTAAGTGAGAGAAGGCTAGGGAACTTGTGAGAAGAAAACAGAAATAGAAGAAAAACTACCATAAATTTGTGCATTCAAATCAGGCAGCAGTTTTGTAAACAGCACTCTTTTACACCAATTCATATTTTTTCTTTAACAGATATGTGTATTTTTCCAGGGATAAAGGAAATGATAGTTGGCATGTTTAATGTTGCTATTAAAAGGATATTCCTGAATTTAGACTTAAGCAACTCTGCAGGAAATAATTCCATAAATAAAACTGGAATCTATTTTAAAGTTTAAAGTTTGATATATGTTGTATATAACACTCATTACAAACTATAGACTGTGAAAAAATATGCATCAGGAAAAAATAAATTGAACACTGCAAATACTCTACATGGCTAGTTTCATGTGATATTGTCACTTGTGACTCTAAACAGTGAATTGCTTATTTTCATAACCCAAATTTCTTTACAAGTTATCCCTATCTCTGAGAACCCAAAAGAAATATATAATGATTAGATGACACTTCCATAGTTTTATATATAACTTCAGTAACTTTGCTTATATCTATATCTAATTGGATACATGTATATGAATATGAATGGAATTAATTAATTATAAAATATTCTAATGAGAAACTAACTTAAATCTAGCTTTTCAAATTTCAGTGTACTCTATTTAATGCAGAAAATTCACCAAACAATCCCAGAAGTGAAGGGTCTATTTTCCTAGTAATCATATTCCATAAAGCCTTCTTCACTTCACTGTTCCGGAGGCCGTAGATCAGAGGATTCAACATGGGGATCACCACAGTGTAGAACACGGAAGCCACTTTGTCCTGAGTGAGGGAGTAGCTTGAGGAAGGTCTGAGATAAGTGTAGGCGGAGGTGGAATAGAAGAGGATGACGGCTGTCAGGTGAGACGCACATGTGGAGAACGCTTTGCGCCTCCCCGCCCCTGCGTGCACGCGGAAGATGGAGAAGAGAATGTAGCAGTAGGAGGTGAGGGTCACCAGCAGAGTCCCAACCATATTCACACCAGCAAATGTGGACAAGATGCTTTCATGCAGGCGTGTGTCAGGACAGGAGAGCTTAAAAATTGGAGGAGTGTCACAGAAGAAGTGATGGATGGTGCTGGAACAGCAGAATGGTAAGCTGCTCACATAACTTGTGTTTACCATGGAGTTCAACAGACCGGCTGTAAAAGCCCCTGTGGCCATTTTCAGGCAGACCGTCCTGGACATGATCAAGGAGTAGAGGAGAGGGTTGCATATGGCCACATAGCGGTTACAGGCCATTAACCCAAAAAGGATGCATTCAATTGTGGCCAAGGCCATAAAGAAGTACATCTGCAGGAAGCAGCCAGCAAAGGAGATGGTTTTCTTCTCTGATAAAAAAACAATACCATTCACCATTGCAACAAAAAGAATAAAATACTTAGGAGTATATCTACCTAAAGAAACAAAAGACCTATACATAGAAAACTATAAAACACTGATGAAAGAAATCAAAGAGGACACAA